ACACCTCCACTGCTAGAAGAGGGCCTCATCCTCCCTGATTGAACTAACCTTGTTATCCCTTGCTTGATTCTTGCTTGCATATTGATACCTGCCTCTGGAAATTTCCACTACATGCATCCCACGAAAGCTTATGCTCCAATATGTCTGTTAGTCTATAAGGTGCCACAGGACTCTTTGCTGCTTTTACTGACCATAGAAAGTGCAAGGAGCTCCCCTTATCTCTCCCCCAGAGTTGGCCAGAATCTTGATGAGCGAAGCCTTGTTCCCAGCTGGTGCTGGTGTGCGTTCTAGATCCCTGAAAGGGACTGGGTGAAGGCGGGTCTATGGACTGTGCCTCCTTTGTTGGGTGGAGGCAGAATGGACAGCTCAGTGAGTGTCCAAGAGTGGTTACTGCTCTGGAGTGTGGAGCTTTGTGGGTATTCTGTCTGACTTATCCAGAATTCCCTCCTAGGAGCTCCAGCCACTACCTCTTCCTCCTAGTATTAGAGCCCAGCTCAGAATCTTGTCCTGCATGAGCAAGTTATCAGTATTTCCTTCCTCAGTACGATTAAAATCTGATGAAAATTGTGTGCATAATCATCAGTTTATTCCCAGTTACAGCAGTCACATTTCCACTAGGACAAAGTGATCCAGTCTGGGGAATCTGTTTATCTGTCTGTCGAGCCTCACAACACCCCTGTGGGGTAAGGAAGTACTATTTATTATCCCCATTTTTCAGATGAGGAACTGAGGTACAGAGAGACTAATCAATGGGAATTAGGTGCCCAAATACTTTTAACAATCTGGCCCTAAGTGACTTGCCCTAGGTCACACAGGAAGTTTGGGGCAGGGAATTGAGCTTAGGTCTCCTGAGTCCTGAGCTAGCAACCAAAGCCCTGGACCATCTTTCCCCTAAAGACCTGAAAGCTAATAAAGATGGCATACTAAAGTCTGCCACACACCCAAACATTAGCTGAATTGCTTTGTCACTCATATGTCACATGTCATACCTTACCAGGCTGGAGCAGCTCATCTCTGGAGCACGAATAACTTTGGTTCACCAAACATTGTACTAACTAGGGGTTCAGAGACTGTGGTGAAGGTCACCTAGAAAGACAGAACCCAAACCCACGTGTCTCAGTGTTGCCCATATCTAATATCCACATGAATAAGCTGTTCTTGAAAGATGCCTCCCATATATTAAGTAGAGAAGAGCATTAATTTTCTGGAGCTTTGAAGGGTCCACTTGGGGAGGGTAAGGTATGGACTCCGTTAAATCAGGTAGTTGGTCTTTTGGGTGTTGAATTCATGTTGAATCCTGTTCTGTGTTTAAAGTTAACCACTGGCCAGATTCCTTTTGTACTTGGGAGATAAAAAGGAGAATTAAAAAAATCTGAGTAGAATGAGAACAGGGTGTGTTTAGTGTTGGGTGAATTGTGAGTGTTTGGTCCTGCGGGGAGGAAGAGAAATCAATCTCAGTTAAAAACAGGACCATGGTCAATATTGTTTGTGTTCTGTTAGTAATGGGTGATGAAGAGAAAGACGTCACTTTCCTCTGATTCATTCTTGTCACTAATCTACCTTTGCAGCTGCATAGGGGAAGTTTTAACAGTCCGTTCCTATGACTCCAGGTTGTCCCTGTGCAGTAATACCCAGTAGAAGCTGCACCCTGTAATGCCCTGCATGTAGAGTGAGTCCTAAAAACTCATGCCTTTGGCAGGAATGGGAGAGCCCTTGCTTGTGTAGCTGTGCCAGGGCTCCTGCAGTAGCAGTCCTTGGGAACTTGGGGGTTGCTCACGACTGCAGAGCAAGATGCTGAAAAGGATCAGAGAAGGACAGGATGGAAAGATGGGGTTGTGATTTCAATTTGCCCTTGCACAAACCACACAGCAGGGCTAGCTGTGGATGAGCAGCTTGCTCATCTTCCATGTTCACAGAGAAGCTCTTCTGGAATTGTTGTTATAGATATTGGTAATACAGGGTACCAGCGAACACTGATTTCATGGTATATTCCTTTATTAAATCCAAAGGCCAAATGATATGTATGCAATTTCTCTTAACACATCTAAACCTCTAAGTAATAAGCAATTAATACAGCCATACAGTAACAAACATTCCTAAGTGTTTGATCAAGAGACTTTTGAAAAGATCCATCCTTGGGGCAACCCACTTATCCTGGCTGGTTCCAGTATGATCAGGTAGGATGTGATAACTATCTTTAGCAAGCCTGACTCTCTTATACAGTATAATAGACAAGTGATGTTATATTGACAATTATTATTTGAGGTGAAAGCCAGGTTTTGGTCAGTTCAGGTTTGCCCCCTTTCTTGGCCTTTTCTTGGCCTTGGCTAAAACAAGATATGGCTGTTGGTCCTCTTCCTTTTAGATTATTTTAAAGGTATGGATGGCTACACCTGGTATTTTATCGTCTCACATAGGCCCAAATTTGAAAATAAGACTGGCCTGTTAGAGGTTACTATAAGCTTATTACACCACAACACAACTTTCCTTTGTCTATTAAAACCAGTTTAGAAGCCCTTCTTTTTTTTATCAGGCATATTTTAAGCTTAGCATCCTCTCCCGACCTGTCTTGGTTGCTGTTACATTTTATTTACATTTTTGAATCTATTTTTTCGCAAGGACTTATTACACTTGCTTAGCTGCCTACATTTGTACACAAGTTAATAAGCTGATATATTTTCTTACCCAAGCTAAACTAACCTTAACCCTTTTTATTCTAAAACCTTCCTACAAGCCCAGAGAGGGACTGTGTCTGCACAAGACATAGTCTCTACAGTCCTCCTCCTGGGACCTGCCCATAAACAAAGCCGTGGCATAACTGTTACAGTCTAGCAGGGATGGGGAAGGAAACCTTTGACATCTTTGTGAACCACCCATGTGAATACCTTACCAGTCAACCACTGGGCTTGGTACACCAGCTGTGCATGTTCAATGTTCTGTGGTCAGAGAGATATGCATATGCTCTGCCTAAGTAGAAGATCTCCCGTGGAAAAAATAACAAACCTCTGTATCTTCATTTAGAGACTGTGGCTTCAATTAAATGTAATTAATTCCCTCTTTAATCAAAGGCACCTTCTATTAAATGTATTTTCTGTCCTCTGTGGCTTGCATGATACAGGTGTTACTATTGCAAGAGGGCAGGCGCTAATCAAGGGCAGCTTCTAAATGAAGATATGAATGTATTGCATTTAGATCAGATGAGTCAGATGAAAGCCTCTTCCAGGAGTCCATGCCTTTTAAACTGGGCTTATAATAAACGTGTTAACTTTCTACATTATTATAAGCAGCTGCATCTTCTAGTGGCCCACAAGAATATATTTACTGTATTTGAAAGGTTTCTGTGAGGAAGCCGTGGGAGCTTTGATGTCCGTGTTGATTTCAGATTATCTCAGTGAGCTAAATTCCTCCCTACTGTAACTCCATTCAAGCCAATGCAATTAAGAAGGTTTCATTTTATGTGAGGCTTGAAAAGAAATATGTGTTTGCATATACAGACAGCTCTTGGAAGTATATATTTTTAAAATATTTAATTACGGACACGTATTACTATGATTTATTATTATGGCCGCTGGCGGTGCTGTAATCACTCCCTATCATGCCACCTTGTTTCACTGTTTTCTTGTATTCCCCTGTCTCTCTGTCTGTATCCATCTGTCTCGTCTTATGCTTAGATTGCAAGCTCTTTGGGAGCATTGACTGTCTTCTAGTTCTGTGTTTGTACAGCACCCAGCACACTAGCGCCCTGGTCCATGATACTCAATACAAATAATATATTGTCATAAACATAAAAGACTGAGTTTTACTTTGTGAAAAAGTGGAATCAACTGTGCACCCAAAATCTGTTTTAAAGTGGACGTACTGAGACATTTGATTGACGCGTGGGCCCCACTAATCATTCACACCACAGACTATGGTGCAAGGGAGTTTTCCTGTCCTGCCTTGCAATCGCTTATTCCAAAAAAAAGAAAGAAACCCAAACTAGCAAAATGGGACTGAGACATTTTAACAAAAAGCACTGGGCTCTGATCAGTCTCACCCTTTGGAATGTTTTGTTTAGCAGGCTGGTTTGTAACATTACCCTGGCTTGTTCAGTTCAATGCCTTTAAGGGCACATGCCTCTCAATCACCTTGCATAAGCAAATGCAATAAATTTCATCCATCTCATCCTTCACGCCCGTTCTGCCATTCTGTGACTAAATCTGCTTTAGATGTGCCCCGTTTTGTGTCTATGACTCCCTTTCTGTGACTAGGTCTGTTCCTTGATTGCTACTGATTCACAACAGTTCTCCTGACCTCACTCATGACATCCTTGATTCTTTCTTAGCTTAGGCCACCTTCATTTGCCTCCCACTTTCTCCTGCGATTACCCACTACCAGTCTATCCACATTCTAGTTCTTATGCAGCTTCTGTTTAGCTCTGTTTACAGAAATCCTGTTTTCTCCTAACATACCACATAAAGACCAGTTAATCAGGTCATTGTATGGTTTAGTTCCAAACCAATTCCTGAGCTTGAGCCTTGGGCTCATTCTCCCAGAGAAGCTTGTGGTATGATCAGTGCTTAATTTTTGCCAGGACTTGCCACCTCAGTTATGAAAGTAAAAATATTGCTGGAGCTCTGGCACCTACTTGCTTGAGCCCTGGCACCTCTATCATTACAAATTAAGCACCAGGTATGATATTGTAATAAACTGCATTACATTAGTCTTTAAAAACTCTCACTTTTGAATTACTTGACACATCCAAACTGAGGAATTGTCATCTGTGTAACCCTATATTCCTGTCTCTTTTACCCTCATTATCCCATGCGTCTTCCCTTATTGGTTTGTTTGTTTGTTTGTTTTGTTACACCCACTTGTCTTAAATTAAACCGGAAGCTGTTCAGGGCATAGACTTTTCTGATCAGCACTGTGTTGTTTCTACATCTTCGAATTACATTAGCCATAGTTTGGTGTTCAAAATCCATTGTCTTCTCACCGTGTTTTGGGTTTATCCCTCACAGATCATTTTCCGAAAAATCAGCGATGTCAAGAAGGAAGAAGAGGAGCGCCTGCGCCAGAAGAATGAAGTGACCCTGAGCATCCCTGTGGACCACCCCGTGAGAAAGCTCTTTCAGAAGTTCAAGCAGCAGAAGGAGATGCGGAATCAAGGCACAACACACATCGACCCAGAGAGGAACCAGCTTCAAGTGGAGAGCCGTACCATGCAGAATGGGGCCTCCATCACTGGCACAAGTGTGGTCACTGTGTCTCAGATCACACCCATTCAAACATCCCTGGCTTATGTGAAAACCAGTGACACAATCAAGCAGAACAACAGGGACACAATGGAACTTAAGCCAAATGGCAACCCTGAAAAATGTCTCAAAGTTAACAGTCCCATCAGGATGAAGAATGGGAATGGGAAAGGGTGGCTTCGACTTAAGAACAATATGGGAGCCCCAGAGGAGAAAAAGGAAGACTGGAATAATGTCACAAAGGCTGAGTCAATGGGGCTATTGTCCGACGACCCCAAGTGCAATGACTCAGAGAACAGTGTAACTAAAAATCCACTGAGGAAAACAGACTCTTGTGACAGTGGAATAACAAAAAGTGACCTTCGTTTGGATAAAGCTGGTGAGACTCGCAGCCCCCTGGAACACAGCCCTATCCAAGCTGATGCAAAACACCCATTTTATCCCATTCCTGAGCAGGCCTTACAAACCACACTACAGGAAGTCAAACACGAACTCAAAGAGGATATCCAGTTGCTAAGCAGCAGGATGACTGCCCTTGAGAAACAGGTGGCAGAGATTTTAAAAATATTGTCTGAAAAGAACGTGTCCCAGACCTCTTCCCCAAAGTCCCATTTATCACCCGAGTTGCCCCCCCAAATACCTTGTCAAGATATTTTTAGTGTTTCAAGGCCTGCATCACCTGAATCAGAAAAAGATGAAATCCACTTTTAACATATACCTATGTGTATATATGTATACAGTATATATGTAATTGTGTATATATGCCTGTATACATATATATATGTGTGTGTGTGTGTATACAGTAAATATATATACATATATATTTTCACTTGCATCCAATATGACTTGAACACAACAAGGATTTTGATATGTAAATATTGCATGTCCAGCTGGATTCTGGCCTGCCAAAGAAAACAATTATTAACGTAGATATTGCTTGTATAATATGCAGTTGACTGCATGCACACTTTACATTTATTTATAATCTCTATTATGTAATAAAAGGATTACTTTTGTTTAACAAAGGCAATGTTACTATTTAAAGAATCAGGGTCCAACCTGCCAATATTGCCATGACAGTTTTAATCTCGGGCTGGGTGAATTGAGCATTTCTTTCCTCACTGTCCTCTCTGCTGAGTTAAACAGTAGATTAACATGAGGCCGAAGGCATGCTCAGTCTTCTATTAGAATCACTTCCTGGTATCGTTCCATTGTGTTATAATGTATATCTAGTGATAGATTTGTGTTTCCTACAAAGGAAGTGGAGGAGTCAACTGAATTTAAAGGGACAGTAGGTGACAGTCTAAAATGTTGGAAATTATCACTGGGGGTGTTCTGCATGCAAATGCATTTTATCTCAGCTGCCCTCCTCCTCTCAACATTATACATAAGAAACAATAATAATGAAATATTATGTACAAAATAGCAAAACAAAACATCTCACACACACGCCCTGTATTTCTTTTTGCGTGTGGGAGGGCAGAAACTATTACTTGAAAGCTTCCTGTCAGAATAACCTTATGTCGATTTTTGTACCAGTATTTGGCTACAGTGTCTGAGTCTGTCAGGGTATGTGTACACTGCAGTTAGACACCTGCAGCTGGCCCATGCCAGCTGACTAGGGCTCACAGAATGCAGGCTAAGAGGCTGTTTAATTGCAGTGTAGACCTTTAGGTTTGGGCTGCAGCCCAAGTTCTGAGACCTCCCACCTTGCAGGGTCCTAAAGCCCAAGCTCCAGTCAGAGCCCAGACATCTACACTGCAGTTAAACAGCCCCTTAGCCCGAGCCCCACAAGCCAGAGTCAGCTGGCCCAGGTCAGCCACGGGTGTCTAACTGCAGTGTAGACACAACCTCAATGTCTTTATTAGAAACTCAGTTTTTTCAAGGGTTGATGGCAGCTTCCAAAAAATTGCTCCTGGCTGAGACATCACACAAAAGGTCTCAGTGAGAGAGAGGGAAATCTAGGCTCAACTCATTGGGAGGTTGTAACAAGTGGTGTCCAAAGCCTGATGTTAAATGGTTGTGTTAATTCTTCCTCCTTTTTAAAACGATGTTTGTAACTCTAAAATTGCCAGTGGCGGGGAGTGGGGGGGAGAGAGAGAGATCAGGCTGTATATTCACTAAGGGAGACATTCACTTCACCCACATTGAGCCAGGGTAATACGACTGTGGGAGGAAGAGGCGTGGGAAAGCTGGGGAGAGGAAATCCAACCCCATCTGAGGACTGGGTGCCTGATACAAATGCTGTTGAACTTAACCTTGACTTCAGTGGACTTTGGATCAGACTGAAGCTGCAGGACTGCAGCCCCTGCATGCCAGTTGTACATTTGATCCTACAACCCCTTACCATAGCCCATCAGCGCCCTCCATGCAGCTGGTGAGCAACACACTGAGAGCCCACATGCCGTTTGTGCGATTGCTTAGCATACAGCGTCACAGTCATGCATTGCCAGTGCGTAGCATTAGTGAGGAAGGGTGCTTATGCCGGCACTGTCTGCCATGGGTGAACTTTACTCAGCTCGCTACAGGAGTTTGAAAAGATGGATCTCCCACACGAGCAAGACTTTAAAATCTACTTGGGCCTGATCCACTGCTGTCCGAAATTGACACAGGTCCATTGACTGTAACGGAGCCACACCAATTTACACCAGCTGCGGATCAGGGCAAATGCTGCTTGTGAGGGTGCTTTTTTCAACAACAGTGCCCATAGGGGTTTTAGACCATGCTAGGCTGACCCAATGGACCATACTGACTCCAACGGAGGAGTTCAGTAACACGCTTTATGGCCTCCTGTGTCATAATCCCACTTTCTAAAAAGTGCCTATAGCAAATACAAATTTGCACAAAAAGCTTTTACAATCAGTCCGGTAAAATACATCAGTTTCCATAATTAGTACGCATCCTCACCAGTTAGACGATCAGAGCCATTGCTTTTTATCAGGTAACTAAAAAACAAACAAACCCAAAATAGTTCCCCTGTGCAAACGGAATCATTTATAGCAGTGGAAGTTACAAACTTTCATCCCAGGGTGAACATGCCTCTTAATATCAAATTGAAATACGTAATTCCACAAAAGACCAGAACAAAGCCAAAGACGTCATTGCGGCTGTTGTGTCAATTCTCATAGGCTTTTAGGACACAATTTTCTTTCTTTTCTTTTTTCCCCTCAAGCCCCCTCCTTCAGGAAATTCACAAGGTGTGTTGATGGGGGAGGGTGAGATGCCACTTCAACAACAATTGTGGACAATTATTTTCAAAGCCTGGTGCCTACGCGGCCCGCTCACTCTGCTCCGTCACATACTTCCTTTTTGTGGCTGCATTTTTGCATCTGCTGTTCTACTGCAGGTACAAATGAGGTAGCTGGAGATACATGGGGCAACCACAGTTCATTTTGGGGATACAAGTTGCACTTGGAGAAAGGGAGGCCAGACTTAGGGATTTAAGCCCTTATGTGTCCACAGAGGTGTGGGGGCTACATATGCAGCATGCATTTTGTGGATACATCTTAAGTGGTAAGTTTACAGGTTTAAGTGTGTGACTTTAATCTCTGGTTAAAGCCTATACACAACAATTAATTTTCCTGGATCTCTCTCCAATGTTCCTAGCTGCTGCACATGTTACAGGACTGTGGTTGGTAGTAGCAAACTTGCCAGGTGTTATATTCTCCACATCTCCCCTCTCCTCCATTGCAGTGGAACCAATGTGGGGGGGAGGCATAGCTCAGTGGTTTGAGCATTGGCCTGCTAAACCCAGGGTTGTGAGTTCAATCCTTGAGGGGGCCATTTAGGGAACTGGGGCAAAAATTGGGGATTGGTCCTGCTTTGAGCAGGGGGTGGGACTAGACGACCTCCTGAGGGCCCTTCCAACCCTGATATTCTAGGATTCTATGGTTTTGCTGCACGGCCTGAATGGCAATTCTGGGAGCCAGGGCAAAATTTCGGCAGCCCCCTGCATGTTGTGGTGCACAACTCAGCTGTGGCTCCCTGCACTTCAGCACAGAGGGTGAGGTTGGGAGAGGAATGCCCCAGGGGTAGATCCAGGTGAGCTGTGACTATGCCAATCGCTGGCCACTTCCACGGTGGGGGAAGGCACCCCCATGGGTGTAGCGCCTATTTGCCTAGAAAAGAGGATTCTTGCCCTTTCATCCCCCCTGAACCTCCCAGTGAATAGCCTAATTATTCAGACTGTACAGGGGACAGGACTTTGACCCATGTGCACATAACTCCCGTTCCATATTAACAGGAAGTTACATGAATGAAACAGGAGGGGAATATGCCTCTGTGTTATTCTGCAGGGTATAACAGGATGTGTTAGGAAGCTTTAGCCTTAACTGTGAATTTCTTTGCCTTTGTGGGGGATTTAGTTCTTTCTCTGTAACTAACGTTAACCAGAACTGCATGGCATGTAAGAGGATTTTTTTTACACTCTTTAAATTAGGTGTAACTTCATGCGGCTTTACAGTGAGAGAACATGTAACTAAACTAAACTGACCTTGAAAAATTTTTGAGATAACTGTATCGATTACAGTTCAGGTACAACTATACTGGTTAAAAACGCATACTGGCTAAAAGCTATGCATACTATAAACTAGTAAGTTCATGGAACATACAAGGTTTTTCCAGGTTCAGTGTCAATTCTTGTCCCTGTGCTGCTCTTACTCTGATATTCATAGGTGCCGGAACTAGGGGCTGGCTTGAAGTGGTTTCCATCATATACAGGGTTTACAATGGGTCAATGGTTCTTAGCACCCCCACAATAAAAATTGCTCCGGCACCCCGATGGTACTCCTATATCATCACAAAGATCCACTGAATCCATTCATATCCTGTATGAGGCAATGCATACAGAGCCAAATTTTCAACGGGATTGCAGTGGCTATTCTTACAATAACTGGGGCATGCAAATTGGATACTCCAGTCTCCATTTGCAGCTCAAAGGTGTGTTGTGCAGGCACATTTTGCAGGCACAGCCTTTGTGGTTACCATCTGGAAAATTTGGCCCATACATTTTTGACTATAAATGAACAATGCATTACATGTTGTTTCATGAAGTAGCTACCGAAAGGGTCATTTATCTTGTTTTCCAGTCCCCTTGTTCCTTTGTTTGCATGATGTGGCTGATGGTGATGTTGAATGAGGTATACTCTTTTCATTAAGGAAGCATGAGTTTCATGAACCCTGTAAATATCACTCTAATTTTCCAAGCAGAGCAATACAGTGATCTAATGATCCAAATCAAACTTGATTTGAAGTGAAACCTACTTTAACAAACAAACAAAAAATCCTCTGATGCCTGAATCAGCACTCTAGTAGACATATCGGGAGCATTCAGTTGCATGCGTTAAGATTATTTCTGAGATATGTGTAAAAATACAAATGCTCCTGCTGCATAATCGTAAGAGCGATAATTCTTAGCACTTACGTAGCGCTTTATGTGTTCAAAGCGCTTTACAAACACATAAGTGGATTTTATTTTCTGGACAAGACACCTGTCAGGAAAAAGTGTATATATTCACTTTCCAACACAAATGAAACACCTTTAATAATATTTTTGCATAATATTATAGACATAATTTGAGCAAAACTGTAGAATTACATCAAGCTCAAAAACTCTGAGTAATTAAACCATGGAAGCTTAAGTAGCTAAATATTGCCTGACTGTTCTAATTTCTGATTTGTGAAAGTTTTCTTTCTTCAGAGAGGGCTGGGGATTAGGGTATAACTGATTTACTTGTGTGGCAAAAATATGCTTTTGCTGTGTTTTCTTCCTGTTAGCACAGCAAAGCCAACACAGCTATAAGAGTTGGCTCTTATTCTCATTGAAGTCAATGGCAAACCTCCCTTTGGCATAAATGAGAAAGGATCATCTCCTGAATGAGCATGTTGGAGCGAAATTCCGATTATAGATCCAAATTCATCCCTCAGTTCCAACTTCATTGAAAGCAACGGGTCTGAACTGTAGGTTGATTTTGGCCTACAAAAGTCTTTACTCTGGTGAAAATGCATGAGGCTGAAAGAATACAGATTATTTTTCGGATCCCAGGCTGAGTTTGCAGAGCTGACCGTTGGAAAAATAACATTTCATTGTTTGTAAACTGAGCACAGTTGAACTAGAAATCATCAAGTCACCATAAATATGAAGCTCCTCAATTAAAGCTGGTTGGAAAACCATGAAAAATTCCCATGAAAAATTTTGGAGATTTTGAACAAAGGAATCGGAATTAAAAGCCAAAATTTTGAAATTTTTTTGCAAAATTTGGGTTAATTGAAATGTTTTGTTTGGATAAAGTCATTTTGAAATGAAAAATTGAAACTTTCCATTCCAAAAGTGTGGAAAAAGGGGATCTTTCAACATTTTAAAAATGTTTTTTCCAATTTTTTCCTAAGCGAAATGTCATCAAAATAGGATTTCACACACAAACATTTCCTTTGTTGAAACAGCATTTTCCATAAGAAAACTGTTTAAAGCAAAAAAAATTGGATCAGTAATGCCAACCATGCCATTTTACAATTGGTTTTCAGTGCAGAACCACACTTAGTCTCTTGAATAAATAAATACTCCGCTGTGAGGCCCTCAGCCCCTTCTATAGCGCTTCATAATCCTGATGCCAGGATACTTTTATTAGGGTATTTGAGAAATGGGGGTGCTGGGCTTCTCATATAAAGACCCAAATCTGCAAGGTAGTGAGCTTTCCGTCTCCCATTCAAGTCAGTGTGAGCAGAGAGTGCTCTGTACCTTTGAGGACTGGAAAGAGGTAGATTGTATTTTTCTTGTCTTTTCTGAAACTATCCCGAAATCCTTACTCTCTGGGAGTTCAGGGCAGGGAGCAGAGCACTTGTCTATGTAATTCTGACTGACTGGCCCTGGCCCTTTACGTAGACCTATACAGAGCACACTGACTTTGGTGGGGGTGAAGGGTCTGCAGAAGCTGACCCAATTGCAGGATTAGGGGTCTGGGTTTCCACACAGAATCATAGAAGATTAGGGTTGGAAGAGACCTCAGGAGGTCTTCTAGTCCAACCCCCTGCTCAAAGCAGGACCAACCCCAACTAAATCACATGCCTGCAGATAACTTTGTTCTAGATAATTTCGACATTTAATTTTTGATGCAAGTAACAAATGAGATTTCTAATTTCGAGATTGTTTTAATCTTCCATGCGGATCAGAATGTTTCATAATCAAGCACAAGTTGTCCAGCGGACTATCGTAGGGCATTTAATAATAGATGAAACAGTCCGCATTCGTTCTAGAAGAAAAAACTAGTGAGTTCTTTTAATCAAAGAATATTTTGTTGATAAAACAGATGCAAAGACAGAACACACAACAGCTTGGAGACCCCTAAAGCATGGTGGGTGAATCAAATCACTAGCCGTGGTGAGTGTTCAGCAATAAAGACCAATGGCCTTGTGTACTGCAGTGGGACAGTATATTGCAGGCTAGATTGCATACTCAAATGATACAACCGTTCAGCAAGGGCTCGGTGAGAATGTGGTAAACGTATTTGCCAACTATTGGTGGACCTTCTGACACAACCTAGTGAGGGGTTAGAGGCTTACCCTCTTACCCTCTTGGCTAAATGGCAAACCCTCTTGTCTACATGGCAACCCCTCTTCCCCCCGCTTGCCCCTCTGGAGCACCAAGTCTGAGGGCCCGGATCTACAGACAGGCTCACAGGGCTCATGCTACAGCACTAGGAATCGCCATGTTGATGTTCAGGCTGGAGCTCGGGCTCCGAAGCCTGAGGAAGGAGGTGGGTTTCAGAGCCCAGCTCATGCCCAGCTATTTTGAGCACCCAAGTACAAGCCCAAAGCTGTAGACCCTGACTCTGAGACATGCCACTGCAGCTCATTGTTTCTGTTTAGATGAACCCATAGGCTACTAAGTGCCTCAGGCACAGATTCTCAAAGGCATTTAGGTGCCTAACTCCCATGTAAATCTGTGGGTGTTCGGTGCCTAACTACATTGGTAGATCTGGGCGACTGGGCCTCAGTCATGTTTGGAAATGGGATCTGGGCCTCATCCACACATGGTTTTTGCACCAGCATAACTAGGTTGGATATGGGCATGATTCGTTACTAAATAGGAGATGCAGTTGGACCGGGATAATGGAGTACGCTAGTATCGCGTATTCCCCTTCCTATACAGAAGCACATTGATACAGGTATAACTGTGTCCCTACAAGGGGGCTGTACTGCTTTACCTGCATGGGGATAGTTAAAATGGTACCACATTGGTCTGTTAGACAAAGCCGTAGGCTCCTACATCACTTATGGATCAGTTTTGAAAATTTGACCTTAAATCTGTGGCATGGTATTGTGGTGGCCTACTTCCCACTCACAGGTTTCTTTAAAATTCTCTAAAAAAAATTTCAACATTTTTGCGGGGAGTTTTGTGACCTCACGGAGTGTGTTTACACTGCAGTAAAACCCTGCGGTATGGCTGTAGCTAGCTTGGGCCAGCTGACTCAGAGTCTCGGGGCTTGAGCTGCGAGACTACAAAATTACAGTGTAAACATTTGGCTGGAGCCCGGGCGCTGAGATCCTGCAAGAGGGAGGGTCTCTTATCCCGAGTCCGAGCGTCTACACTGCAATTTTATAGCCCCACAGCCTGAGCCCTGTGAGCCTGAGTCAGCTGACCTGGGCCCTGTGGTTCGGGGCCAGGGGTGGGGAGGTTTAATGTAGTGTAGACATACCTACAGAGGCCCTTTGCTGTATATGATTCATATGACACATAGGTGTTTGTGGCGTGTAACAATCAACCAGCTCCCTGCCAGGAGGGGCTTTTAAATTGAATTAGACACACGCAGCAAGTGATGATGGCATAGAAAAAAATGGGAAGATGGCAGGCTATGGGTTGGTGTGGGGTACAGACTGAGATTTGTGGAGTGTCGTTTGGTTTTATAACCTATATGTGGGATGCCTGGTCGATTGGACTCTGTCCAGGGGCTTGAGAGGCCTGGGGTCTAGTCCTGGCTCTGCTGCTTGGTCATGTCTTGGCTTTGTGCCTCAGTTTCCCCATCTGTAAAATGAGATATTTTATTGCCCTCCTTTGTAAAATGCTTTGAGATCTACAGAGAGAGATAGAAGCTGGGTGTTGTTATACTGACATTTGGGACAGTGGAATGAGGCCAACACATAGAGTCGTCCCATGAGAACAAGTAATTAAAAGAGAGCTTTGGAGCTAAATAATGGATAACTTACTAGGAAACTGGCTAGATGGCAACACTTTCCTGCAGAGCGCCATGGAGTGGTGCCATACAACTGGGAAGACAGCAGGAAAAGTGAGCAGAAAGGAAGAAAGGGAATTAAGTGAAAAAGAAAGCTGTTTAAGAAATAAAGCAGGAATGTCTCACATACAGAATATTATTATTTCACTGAAGAAAATATTTAGATCCCAAGGCCAGAAGGGACCACTGTGATCACCTTCTTGGATCTCCTGTATGACACGGACTAGAGAACTCCCCCAAAATAATTTCTAGAGCAGATCTTTTAGAAAAAATATCCGAAACCCAAAGAACTGGGAATGTGGTGGGTTTTAAGCTTTTATAATTCTGAACATAGGCACCACTTTCCTCTCTACCCGGGGGGTGCTCGAACCCTGCTCTGCCCCAGGCCTGCCCCCACTCCACCCCTTCCTCCAAGCCCCCACCCCTGCCCTGCCTCTTCCCGCCCCTTCTCCACCCCCAGCCCCACCCCCACTCCACCCCTTCCTCCAAGGCCCCACTCTACCCTGTTTCTTCCTGCCCCTGCTCCACCTCTTCCCTCCCCCAAGTGCACCCCGTCGCTGCTCCTCCCCCTCCCTCCCAGCACCGCCTGCAGGCTACAGAACAGCTGTTCTGCGGTGTCCAGGAGGCCCTGGGAGGGAGGGGGAGGAGTTGATCAGCAAAGCCGCTGCCGGGCGGGAGGCACTGGGGGGAGAAGGGGAGCTTGGCTGCTGGTGGGTGCTAAGCACCCGCTAATTTTTTTCCAGGGCTGCTTCAGGGCTGGAGCACCCATGGAGTCGGAGCCTATGATCTGAACTTTCATCAGTATGTTTACCCTGCAGTCTGTTCGGATTGTTATTTAGAATTGATTCTACAGCCATGTACGGTCGGTGCGTGGGTGTGGTACTTTACAGACCATTAAAAGGGTCCCTGCCTCAATGAGCTTGCGTTCTAATTCAGACACGCTACAACAAGAGGGTTGTAGGTGAGGTTCTAATGAGAAATTATATGTCGCTTCTAAAAGAGGATTTTTCTTTCCTTCCCTGTGTTGTGTAATAAATGCTCAGACCTAGTAACTTGCATCTGTTCTGTCAAGAAATGAAATTCCAGTGAGTAAATTTTATCTAAAATCTGAAATTAGAAGTACAGGTTTTGTAAATAAGCTATGGCATAAAACGATGCAAAACGTAGTGACAACTCAGCCAAGACAATAAATAACACCCAAATATAATTCCAATACTTGTGAGCCATCTACACCTGCAAACACAGTCTTGTCAGATCATTACTCAAGTGTAAATCCCCAGATGGATTACGAAACTGTTAGGTGTTTTCCCATTATTAACAACATACTTGTCTTACCATCTTGTTCAGAAGCTTTATATAGAGAGTCCAAAATCTGAAATGTAAAGAGTGATGAAATAAGTTGTCTTTTTATACAGCACCTGTTTCTTACTTTTGTAAAGAAGGTGTTTTAAATGTGCAGTATTTTTGCAGATATGTTCTTTACACTGTAATTATTTTGGGGTGGGGGAGCTGATTTATATGTCCGGTGGTTTAAATAGATATTGTCAAGACTGACAGACATCCCACTGTTAATCTGTTCCACCCTTTTAAAGTAAACTGCAGCACTGGAGAATGGAGGAGCATCACAGATGGCTTATATTGAGATCAAACATTTAAAAACTCTAAAGTAAAATTTTCAAATGCACCCAAGTGCCATAGGAGCCTAACTGCAATTAACGTTTGATGAGATTTATGCTCCTACATGAATGTCACTTTCAAAAATGGGACATTCACTCAAATGCTGGTTTAGGAGTTTAAGGCTTCCAGTCCCCGATGTTGAGTCATGAATAACAGTGCAAATCAATACCCAGCATTAATGAAGGTTTTGTTCAATAACCCATTTCAGGATCAAGTCCTGCAAACCTTACTCTCCTTAATAATCATCAGGCCTTTAGAAATAACGCAGATTTAAATTTTTGGTTACTCCAGTCATCTAGTATGCTAACTGGGACTCCAGTGAGACACTATGCCAGAACTCATTCTATCCTATACCAGACAGCGTCATTCCATTTGTTGTCCTCCATCAGTTGCACTTTAAGTGAAGTTTACCATAGCCCTCACTCTATACTCATGCTGTCTGCTGCTTGAAAAGTTCCTCTCCATTTCCTCTGGCAAACCCTGGGGCTTTGCTCCAGTCAATATTTCCATTGCTGTTAGGCCAGGGCACTGAGTTTCTTTCCTGTTCAGGGGCCTGGTTTCTGCTGAATTTCCTGAGTCATCATGCCGGCTTCCTCTGTTACTAGTTTTTATGCCCAAAAAGGAGAGCATATTTCGTGGGGTCCACTTTTTTAAGCCATTGCTTAAGAAGGAACAAAGATATGCATGTATTAGAGGGGTAGCCGTTGTTAGTCTGTATCCACAAAAACAATGAGGAGTCCAGTGGCACCTTAAAGACTGACAGATTTATTTGAGAATAAGCTTTCGTGGGTAAAAAACCCACTTCTTGAGATGCATCAGAAGAAGTGTCTTTTACCCACGAAAGCTTATGCCCAAATAAATCTGTTAGTCTTTAAGGTGCCACCAAACTTCAAAGATATTCATGACTCACTACTATCTAATTCAGGACAGTGGAGAGGTGTACAGGGTGATTTTTATTTGAAGATCAAGCAGTTCAGTTATGCTCAGTAACTAGATATGTTATTCTCAGGACTCCTGTGCTGTCCAATTAATCTGAGGCTTCATCTGATTTTGTATTTCTGGTTTCTTGTCCAAATTATGAAAGAAAAGGTTTCTTTAAAAAAAACAACATCCATATTCGTCTTCCTAATTAGTCCTCAGTTGTCCCTGCAGAACTAATTACCACCTTCTGCAGTTATATCATCAAGTGTTGCTTGGCCACAAACTTATTTTTTGCATAATTATGAGTCTCCATATTACAAACAAACGCAGGCAGCCAGCTGTACAGCTGTACATAGAGCAGACATAGGGGCATATAGTGCATGGATACAGGAGATGTGAATGTTCAGGATATTTTGAACCAAACAACAGAGAGTAAAAGCTCGCATGCTGGATGTCTAAAAATCCCATGCCTGCATGTGGAGTTTATGTACCAAAATTCTGTTAGTATTGGCAGGGGTCATATGCCAAATTTCTCTTCACATCAATAGGATAATTAGACCCTTGACAAGCTTCCTAAACTTTGCAAAACTATTTATTCTGTTATGCATGAAAAAACCTTACTCAGCGACCTTAGTAGCTGCACATCACTGCACTTGTGCATACATACACAGACACATGTATTGTGCTAATATTTGCATTTATTGAAGGATAGATTTACAACAAAACCTAGCACAAAAACCAGGATATTTTCCTTTTTTAAAAACAAAACGGTTTCCTCTGTGTCCTGCTTGGATTTCAAAATGAAATCATGTAGAAGTAGGAGGCTTGCTGACATAATGTTCCATTGGCGTAAGCAATGGGGCAATTATTTGTTTTCCTGTGTATGCCGGAAAGAACCTGTGTGTTGCTAGCAACTACAGTTACTGCAGATTTTATAATAATCTGCGCAAATTCCAACCATTGGACTGTGTGATCTACTGTGTGATCAAAGTAGCCTCTAAACTTGTGCTCGTAATTTTGAGTATGTACATTTTTGGCTATGGATTGTCATGTGTAAACAGCATTTTGTACAGGCCACTCAGACCTTTAACTGACTGGTTTGTCTACATAACATAGGATCTGATCCACAACCCACTGAAGTCAATAGGAGTCTTTACATTAATTTGTATGGCCTTTAGAGTAGGCATTTACAGATGGGGCCAAGGCACAGTATTCTGATCTGGATCAGAACTTCCTCAAGGCCTGGGCTGCTTGGATCCAGGGTTTTAGTTCATCCCCCATCTCTAATGTGAATAAATCCAAGATATTACATCCACAAAACACTGTGTGTGAAATGCAGGCAGAAATTTAGAGGTTGCTTTTGACGATTGGGACAGTGAATAACATTATCATAAAATCAGCTCGACCCACCAGTGAAAGGATATTTTTTTAATGAGGAAGGTCTTTGATCTATTGGCTTATTCTTGGTGTTTAACCTGCCAGTAATCTCCATCCAAAATACTTGTTAAAAATTCACTGCTGCCTAGAATACTCTAGAATAAGTCTCTAGATTTTTTTATGCAAAATCTCCTGGGAAGAAGCATATTTAAAAATAACAAGGAGGATAAAACTATTTCTGCCAGGAAAAAAGCAAATAATGTAGACAGAAGGCACTAGCTACATTTCAGCCTGGACTCCTGCACCACAGGGAGACGCAACCCAAAGCAGGGAAGCTGCTGATACTGCTAAAGCACTTCCGGGTTTGCACAGCTCTGTCCCCAACCAGCATCATTGTCATTTTTCATGACCCTTGACTGCCGGATCTAAAAGACCCAGCTCTGTCAGCCAGCGCTGTAGCAACCTCCTCAGCCTCTATATGTGGCCCAGCCACCACCAGAGAGGGACAGAGTGCTGCCCTGACTGGGTGTGGATTACATGGCACTTGGCAGAATCTAGCCCCACGACTGTGATTCAAGGCATGAAATCCTGGCTCTGCTGCAGTCAATGGGGGTTTTTGCCATTGACTTGAGTAGAGTCAGGAATTCACCCACGTTCTTTTAAAAACAGCAAAGCTAATGGAAGGTTGGGCTCCACAAGGCACTTGACTGTAAATATTTAGAATGCCAAGAAGAAAATTCCCTTGGTGAGGTGTGCGTGGCCTGAGGACCGTCATGTGGAGAAACACCACTGGAACACGGGCCCCGCTTGGTTTGGTGGGGATGGGCTTATATTTGCAGCAATGTGCGTTTCACTTGCTGACAGGGGCAGTGTAATTATGACATCACTGCGTTGCATTTTCATGCAGGTAGTAGACTGAGGGGCAGGAGGATATTTCCCTAATATCTACATATATTTACAGTTATAATAAAAATAATATTGCTCTGTTTTTTTCCTAAAAGCCTCATTCCCCTATAATGACAGATTAAAGCTAAACTGAGCCTGGATCCACTACAACATTGACACTTGCCAATTAAAAACCCTACCCTACCCCACCACAGACAGATAACAGTGTGGTTTATGCATGAGGGCTAAGCACACATGCTACTCTCCCCCTAGCTGTGATCTGAGGGGGTTGAGCATGCAGCTTTGCATCCAAGATGCATTTTTTTCCATGGGTCCATGGTGGCTGGCAGCAGTCAGCTGTGTGCCATAAGCCTGCTGCTTACTGATTTATTGTTGGGTTGTGACCCCATCACTCTGTCGAGTCTAGCACTTAATAAACCCAATCCTCCTTTGCTGCTCTATAATTCATCGTTCTGCTTGAAAATTCCAAGGCATTACGATATGCCAAGGCATTGGAATATGTGTGTATTG